TGGGAGGCTGGAACATCCATCATTACAAACTTTACTAAGTGAAATAGATGGATGTATCCATCCATCTGTCCATTTTACTTTTTCACGAAAAAAGTATTGAACGGATTTGAATTAAATTTAGTACATATGTAAGTTATATCCTAACTTAGCGTATACTTTATGTACTAATTTACATTAGTAGAGCCGCGCGTTAACATTAGCGAACTATAAATGCAAACATTTATATAGTGAATAATTATTGCTCCTTCACAAATTTGAATGAAATTTGCTATATGAGTAGATTATATTCTAGTTCACCACGTAGGATACTTAATGTTTGATGAATTATACGGGAGAAGCTGGGAGATATGGCTAGTCTCAAATAATGGTTCTAAACACAAGGATTACTTATAAGGTGTCGCCAAAGGCATTTATGTATGCGAAAAACCAATTACATGGTCTGTCTGGTAAATAAATGTTTTTGTTATTTCGCCAAAACCTAGTGACGTCACCAACCTATTTCGTTTTGGAAGGTCAAAGACATATCGTTATGTATCAAGGTTATTTTTTGTATTTTGTATTTATTTCATTTATAGTTGTTAAGCCTCTTCATACATTTTTATGCAATACTAAGTAAGAATTCATCCTCTTACGCTTGGACCTTAATGGTCACATACAATGCAGTTTAAAAGGAATAAGCTCCTTACCGAGGTTTTCCCTAGAGGTTACAGTATGGGGTTGTTCAAAAAAGGTATATTAAGGTTCTAAAGTATTATTAAGGTTTCTTTAGAGTCGACAATCCGCATGTGAAACTCCTAGCGTTGCAGGCATTCATAGGTTACAGTAATCGTTTACCAAAAAAAAGGGAAGCCGGCCAACGTGATTTTTCACCCTAAGTTTCATCTACTGAGGTATTTTTTTGTATCGGGATCAAAACTGTCTTATCTCTCAAGTTGATGAAAATAATACACATTTACACAATACACATACAATTTACACATTTACAATATACACATTTTCATTAATGTCAGTTCAACGGTTTCGGAAATTAATTTCAACAAATATCGTAACGAGATTTTTACATATTAAGATGACTGTGTCTACCACATTTTCCTCAATCTTTACCTCAATTAATTACATAAAGTACTAACCTGAATGCAGTGCAACGTATGCCAATATACCTATTAGTTTATATAAGTTAAATAGATTTACACTAATGTAATTTCTAAACACATATGTATGACCAACAAAATTTGTTTTAAAGAAAATAAAACCATAAATCTTACATTAATCTAAATCCACCGTTTTTACACATATATAGTCCACATGAATACTAATTGGATTACATGTACATAAATCGATGTATTATTAAAAATTTTCTTTTTTTACTTTTTTATTTAATAAATTATACTATTATTACTAGTACTAGTATTATATTATCTATGCTAATATGTATTGTATTGTAAAATCTTTATTGTACATAATTCAAATTGAGCACTGATAAATTATTTAATATTAAATTTATTTACTAGATAAATATATTTAATACTTTTCTGGTATTATAAAACTAAATTTCAACAATAAATTACATTTCACCAACTTTTTTTAATTGATAGACGATATATTATATTAATTATAGTAATTAATGTTTAATTATAGTAATTAATAATAATTAGTATTTTAATAGCAATACTAGTTAGTAATTTAATGGTAGGTAAATTTGAATGGAAGTGACGATAGCGTCATCTAATATCAAGAATTAAAATCAAATCAAATAGGATTTATTATACAATGTTACCAAAGAGCTGGTACTAAACAACAAATGCAAGAATGTATACATTGTGCGAGGATTAACCTCGCAACTGCGGGAAAGCTAAAGCAGTGTATTAAACCACTACAATGTTAAAGTCATTAAATTAAGTTCTTAATTATGGCATAGTTATCGCATGACCATAATAAATGGCACGATAAAAAGGAGACATATGCCCAGCTATGATAGACGTGGACTGATTAGATACGTAGGTAGTCTCATAATAAAAATTAGGCATTATCATACCATTCCTTTACCTGGCCTCCAAAACATAAAAAAAATGACAAGTGACAATAATTTTTTTAAGTAATCTAAACATGTCAGTTAAGTGTTGCTCTAACTGGGCTGGCTGTCACTGCTCATCCATCAGAATCCCCTATATGGTTAGCGTTTTCTTAAGATATTTATATTGTAACGTTCGAAAAAAAAATGTCACGTCTCATTTAAAAAAAAAAGTATGGACTTATTATGTACTAGCTAATACCCGCGACTTTGTCCGCGTGGTATTTGTTATACCTTCGATTAACATTTTTAACCTCCTTATTATAGTGAACTATGTCTGAGAATACTGGACCAAAATTTACAAATGACGTGTCGTTCTCACTCTTTGCCTTAGGTCAAATTGACTTTACTTAACTAGGTTGTGTACTAAGCTGTTTAAGTTACTATAGTTTTTTAACTATCCCACAAACTCTTTATTTTTTCGTAATTTAAAACATCTAAAATGTTGACCGGAGATTTAAGTTACCACTATGCAAAATTTCATTTAAATCGGTCCAACAGTTTCGGAGATTAGCCCGTACAAACATACAAACAAACAGAGAAACTAAAAAAATTAAAAAATCTACGAATACTCGACCCTTTATTTAATTAAAATATATCAGATCTCTTAAAATACGCCCATTTCCCTTAATCGCTTAAAAGAAATGACGTTTCTATTTAAATAAAAAAAAAAACCAGTAAAAACAAAAATGTAACTTCAACCTGCTATATTCAAGGAAAAGTTATACAAAAATATGTTATCGATTTGTTATTTCTTTTTAATAATAACACTAAAAATTCATGTAAAACCCAGAATTGATAAGAACAAAATACATACTTGAAGCAAATACGAGTATTTATCATAGTTAGTTTACCGTATCCCCAACATCCGTATAGTACAGGAGCTAAGATGAAACAAAATATCTAATAATGTATACACACACATTTTAGATTTTTATATAGATATACATATATGTAAATGTTTTATTTCATTACATTGGGAATGAAAAAAATTAAAGTGAAAGTTTCAAAAAAATATCAAAACTAAAATGATGATGATAGTAACTGTGAAATGTCTGATACCTGAAAAGTCAGTATGTGAAACAATAATTAGCTAATTATATATTCCCTAGCAATTCCTTAGAAAGCAAGAATAAAATTAATATTTTCTTAGAGCGACTTTTTTGCACACCGTATATTACATCACCGCCAGGTGTCACAGTTTTTACTATAGTGATATTGATCAAAGATAGATATATATATATATATATAGAAGTATTATATAAACATATAATATAATAAAGTTTGTTTGATTGAACGTCAGTGTACACTGGCAGAGTACCAGTGAGAGATGGGATCAAGGAAAGCAAGTCAGTTGGCCTATTGTTACAAATTTAATAATAAATCAATCATGATGGTTGAATTTTTGAGAATTTTTTTTTTGTATTTCTTGAAGAAATTTATTCGCTATTCAAAATAAATAACTATACAGCCACGGACGAAACTACCAGTTAAAACTAGTATAAGTGTATATTTAAAAAAAAAAAACCTGTAATCCATATCTATTATCTATAATTAGTCTAGTGCCCATAATATATACAAACTAATTCCAAAGTAAACGGATCATTTCTATTTATTTTAGAATAGAGTAGAAATAATCTTTATCCAAAACAAATCTATTATTTACAAGCTCTTTCACGTCTTAATTTTTTCTTTATTAAACTAAAACAAATTTTAAAAACATAATTTCTTTATCAAACTAAGTTACAAAAAAATTTCAAATTCCATAAGTACACCTACACCACTTCAATTAAAATAAAATAGTTACTCATTTTTCACCTGTCATATATTTTTACTACGCTAATCGTAATTATATAAAGAAAAATATCGGTGTCCGTTCATGCAAATTTCCGAAGCCAATCATCCTATTTTAATATTTTATACTCGTAAATCTATATTCGCTAATTTAGAACCGATTCTGATAATTTGTCAGAATTTATTTTATTACTTAAGTTTATATAACTTTGAAACCTTAAATCATTAACATAAAACAGAATAATTATCTGTAATAGTTATTTAAAATTTAAAATTATAGCTTATTTTTCTAAAATAAAGATATAAAAAATATTTTATGATTTTTTTTATATTATGGAATTGAAATGTAGCTTGCTTGTTGCCTCTGTAAGCATTTTAGGTTTTATAACAGGATACTTCCAAGTGAAGCACGCCCTACTAAGATGAAGCTCTCTTTCGGCATATTGTGAAGATCCGGTCTCGAGGGATCAAAGTCAAGAACACTTGATGCAAACATTGACAAGTATACGAATGAGTTTATATGTATACAAAGTACCTATAAGACATTTAAATCCTTACAGAACTCAAAGAAATTAGTAAAAATAGTTAATAAATTTATAAAATAATAAGTTATTCTAATAGGGTATCACGCATAGTCAAAAAACATGCATAGTAATCAGGTCCACCCTTTATACTTTTATATACTTTTTACAAATTTGACTGTAATGTTTACTCGTACTTATAGAGATTTATTTGTTTAAATAACTTTATTCAACGAAAAAATATGGTATAAAAAACGGACTCAATGTTAGTAGCATACTCTACCAATCAACCTTTTGGATGAATAGTGACTGGATGAATAATGACGCAGTATTATAATTCATTATTAAAATAGGTAAAAATAACATAAAATGTTGAATATAATCTACATACATAAATATAAAAATAAAATATAATATAAAAATTATATATAAACAAAAAATTATTCTACTTTAAAAAAAATAGCCATATAGCGAAAACAAGTAACTGTTTTATATCTGACGCACAAATTACGAAAATTCTCCATACCTTCAGAAAACAAAGATGAAAATCATCTTAGTTATTGAATGATGACTTTAGCAAAGATCTATTTAATCCTAGCGTGAAAAAATGTGTTATCATTGATTATCAATTATAAGAAACTGCGCACGCGCTGAAGTTTGCAGTCAGTCGTGCGCGAACCGCCATCGGAGGTGCGTGTCCCGCGTGCGTAGTGTGCCGAAAAACTCCGCGTTTTTTTTTTTATAATGGTGAGTGATTAATATAGCGTGTCAAAAGTAATTTAGTGGCGTGACTTATCAATAAACTATTAGATAAGTATGCCAAATTACGTTCTCATTTCAAATTTCTATGTGCTTAATTCATTATTTAATTACGGTAATTATATTCAAAATGATCACGGTATGTATATTTTAAAATGTAGACAACTAACATAATTTTATCCTCCAAAGAAATCTATACCAATATTGAAGTACATTTTTTACGCGCTTAAGTGATACGTTCCCATTCATAAAATAGTTGGTCAGCGGAATTTGATTCGCAAGTCACTACTGTGTTTCTTGGAAGGGAGAAAATAATACAAAAAAAAACACGTGTTCATTCATGCCGATTCACCTTTATGCCGATTACTATAAAGACTTATTTACGTACAGACTTACACTATTCATCCACTATCCTTTTCTATAAATTACCGGTTCCCTATGGTATTCTATCTGTATCTATAGTATCTGATTCATTACTTCAGTTAGGTATAGTGTCAGTTATGAACTGTTGTTGCAACTTTTATTTATAATTAAAGTTAATAAATTATTAATTATTATATGAATATGTATTACTAAAATATAAACGACATATTATAATATAAATATTTAACTAAGATTAAATTCTTGAGAACTTACTACTTAATTGGATATTTGTATAAAAATATTATTTAAAATATGGAAATGTACTTGTATACTGAACCCTACTTTCTTCTTCGCTTCGATTTTTTTTTCAATTACGCAATAATTATAGACTCTATCAATACATTGAAAAAAGAAGCAACAAAATGTGTTCAGAATTATTAAAGATATCACATAATACAAGCACGAATAAAAAATACGCCTAATTGAACTTGAACTCGTTTTTGAAACCAGACGAATCAACTTGTTTATACGAATTAAATTATATAAATAATTAATCAATCAAATTATATATATTTTTAATTATTTTTTTTTTATACCACTGAGGTGGCAATCAAGCATGTGGCCCACCTGATGTTAAGTGGTTACCGTAGCCTATGAACACCTGCAATACCAGACGTATTACGCGTGCGTTACCGACCCTGAAGAAACCTCTTTACCCCCCTTTTGAAGAACCTTTTCAAAACTGCTTAATTTTTAAAATAAATAAAAAAAATTGTGGCATACGTAAATAGGCAGATTGTAATACAATTAAAACTATATAGCGAAATCAAAGGGACTGGGTATTTTAATGCGTAATAAATAATTTTCGTTAAAGGGAAAGTTAAAAAAATAGGGTTACAAATAAGTACAAAATACAAAAATAAGTGAAAAAAAAATACATGACAAAGTTATAATCTTTGTTTATCGTTTTTACTATGCCAGTATTTTAATCGTATCTTTCATTGTATTTTATTCGTGTCTTGTGTTGTAGTAGGATTATTTTCAATAAACAATTTTTTTTTTAAAGAAATATTTACGATTCTATATGTATTGTGTTGGAAGTCAATGAAACTAATCTTTACTGGGGTCCTAATAACGATATATTGTTTCGTTATTAAGAGTGGTTGTAACGCTGTAGTGTTTCAATAGAAGGGTAACAATGTAAACCAAACAAACCTTAGCAATTTCTACATTTTAAGGAGTTTTACGTTAAATGGAAGAATGGAATATAGAGTTTACACTGTATTTGTCACAAAATAAAATTAAGAATACTCTCTCTGGACACAGTTTTTTTCTTTTAATTTAAACTACATATGTATTTTAACAATGGTGTCGATTTTGAGGTGCCGTTTCTTTTAATTCACTCTATTATTAGGCTAAGAGAGCCTATTGTTTTAATTTGATAATTTCGCGAAATATCTATTTTATGGACTATCTTATGATATCTTTGTCGTAAATCTATTAGAAATTTAGTCCATATTTTTGTTCATATTGGCCCTTAGAATAAAGATTTCGCTGTGATGTCAAATTGAAATTTTAATTTTAGATATAGGTTTGGAGAAAGTTTAGATTAAAACTCATAAAATCATGTAGTTTAGGCCCTTATATTCAATAAATATTATCCGAAAACCATTACCCTCGTTGCTGATACAGTTAGGTAAAAATAGCTATTTTTCATTTAACCTTGTCGCATTATTAATAAAATTATTTAAAAAACGTAATTACAGTATTTAGTAAAGTAATATAGCAATTACATACAGATGATTAATTGTTTGGAGTATTGATAAGGAGTGAATAAAGTTAATTCAGTCTTATTGATAGAATAAGACGAGGACACTTGAGTATAGAAAAATAAGAACAATTATTTTCACCTTTTACGTAAAAGTAGTTATAGAAAAATGGAGCAAAGTTAAGAAATTTGCTCATATATACTACATATATTTCTTAAATAGTCCAAAGTAGTAATTCGTAAAACGATACACTTTAATGTGTCACATTTTATTTCAATCCTTTTGTCACGGTAATACGATTTATATTTAAATAGAAAAAACCTTGCATACACAAATCCCATCATGTAATCAGCCTCATAAATTACATATGCAGTAACAAATTCTGATAACGTTTATACAGCTGTAATTTGATATTTACCATTTAAGTTTAATCATGAAACATCGTATGTCGTATTGCTTTTCAATCGCTGTATCACTTCTCGAAGGTTGATGGGCTGAGAATTCATTCAAAATTAAGATTTTCTCGTTGGTTAAAATAAAATAATTATATTAACGGCTGTAATCCCTGCTGGATTATTCAGCCTATATGTTGGAAATGGTAATCCATCTGCGCACCAAATTCCATTCAAATCTGTTAAGCGTGATTCTTTTAACAAAATCCTCGCTTATAATATTTAAATGCTCCATAAGATACCGCTCATTTGTTTTTTAATGAGTGATAATGGAACGGTAACCCTGCCTGCGTTATCGGTACACACTGGCGGGACACCAGTAAGGAATGATAGGTGAGGATAAAAGCAGGTTAGTTGGCCCATCGTGCCGAATTCCTAACTTCTATTTAATGAAAAGCTCTTTAAAAATGTAGTAATTGTTAAAGTTTGGTTTACATTGTCACCCCTGTATTGAAATACATAGCGTCGCAACCGCTATCAATAGCGTAACAATACATTGTTATTTAGACCCCAATATTATATTATACATTAGTTTCATTGACCTATAATCACGATACTGTCACAGAGTCGTAAAAATTTTGTTCTTTTCAGAAAAAAAATCTTTTTATTTAACGAAAATGTGGAATCATCTAATCATAGTTCATAAGAATTGAACCAATTACTTAGTCCAAATTTGAAATTGTTTGCGTAAAGCGAATCGTATGATCCATGATATGACAAATTAGAGATGCGTGATTGTTTCGTCTATCCTATTTTCAACCGACTGTCTGTATCCCCAGAATCCCGATATTTACAAACCAATTTGGAAAAATTTTATCGGAAGGATATTGTTTCAAATTGATCGCATAAAAATTTTATCTAAATCGATTCAGTACTTTAATTTTTAAATCAAAATAATTAGTTTTTTTTATATTCCTCTTTTTACAATTTAAAGTATATAATAAATACTTCTATCAGATTTGTAGTGCCCGTAATACAATATTTGCTTAGTTTTTTTTTTTTTTTTGGTGGTTGAAAATGGTATGGTAACCCCGCCTGCGCTAATAGGATACGCTGGCAGAGTACCAGTGAAGGGTGATAGATGAGAATGAAAACAGGCCAGTTAGCCCATCATGATGAATTCATCAGGAATTAACCATGATAATTTCCAGGGGAACCGCGAGGAGGTCGACCTGGTTGGGTATATTGCTAGCAATGGAATTTCAGTCTCCATTACTAACAATCCCTTTCCCCACAATATTTGCTTAGATGGCGCTATTTGAAGTATCCAGATTTATTATTATTACTTATTATTAACTTTTACCCGCGACTTAGACCGCGTGACCGGGATAAAAAGTAGCCTATATCCTTCTCCATAGTACGAGTATACCAAATTTGATGGTTACTAATAGAGCAATTAAAGCGCTATGAGGTAACAAACAAACTCACTTTCACATTTATAGGATTAGTAAGGATTATTATATAATTTTATTAATATTACTCTTTGGTTACACGAATCGAATCGGGCATTCTTAATTCATGTCACGTCTTTAATAACCTAAGATAAAATTTATGAACACAAACATATGTTTTACTATAGATTCTAATTAATTCTTACAAACAGAACAATATGCATGTGTACTATAATTAACATCGTATACTATGAAACGTGAATGAAGCTATATTCCATGAAAATTAGAACCTATTTTAAGGTAAAAATGAAGCACTCTGTCAATATTTCACAGCCACAAAATTATACAATTACTATTAACTTCAAAGGTACAGTCATAGTTTAATTTACTGGTATTGATGAATTATTCTGATGAAACATTCTGAAAATTAAATATTTACATCGACAATTGTTTCGTTATAGCAACTTTTTATTAGAAAAAAAAAAACATGTTTTTACTTATTAAATAAGTATTAATTTCTTTCCAACATTTTTCATAAAAAGTATGATTTTTTCAAAGGAACATAAATTTAAGATCAACAAAAAATTCTCATTCTCTCTTTTTTTGTCATTTTTAACTTCTGTTTCTCTGGAAAAAATGTTCACATTCACTAATAAGGAACTCTTTTAAAATGATTCTAAACATTTTAATTTCGTCTCATATGTGTTACTCTATTCTGTAATGATTGGCAATTTTATCTTTGTTTTATTTCCATAGAAAAAGATTGCCACAGGTATTAATCTATGTTTGTTGCTCTTGACACGTGAATTAGATATTTCTTTTTCAATCATAACTGTTAATATTCATATTGTGATTATTTTACTAATACTTTGTATAAATACAACCGTGACCTCTATCTCCTGTGGGCACAAGTATTGCATTGACGCCAATACTTTTTTTATATTTATATAACCTTGCTTAATTTTTGTTTACATCTGCTAACGTTCTGTTTTTGTTTTTCTTTCTTTAATATT